TACTGATCTCAGAGAACGTGTGATTTAACAGGAAAACGCAAGTCACAATCCATCAGAATAGATAATAATAAGGTATAAGCGGGGCCTGGGCACCTAGAACTGGAATATCAAAGGAAGAGCTGCCTCCTGAGGAAAGAAAAGCCGCTGTGTAGGGGCACAGGAGGGCCCCAAGTTCCAAAGCTCAGGAACCCCTTGGCCAGTGGGGAAACAGGGAGCAGACAACGTGCTCCAATCACCCCCGGCTTAAGAAATTAAGTCAAAGAAGAAAGGACCCAGAGTTTGGAGCCGGGTGAGGACGGGGGTGCCCCGGTGGGCGTTAGGAGAACAGCTAGGTGGAGGCCCGTGAGGGCGGGTCCAGCCAGCCACCAGGAAAGGAGAAGCTAAACAAAACGGTACTTTAACCAGATGCACAGGCAAGATCGATAAGGGACTGTGCAAATAAACCTGGAACCTGGATGAAGTGCACGGTTTTACAGAAGATCCCAGGTCATCAAATGGAAGTAACGAGTTTGAATAAACCAGTAACCACTGAAGAGCCCAAATTGGTCACCAAAGACAGCCCGGCCCGAGGAGGCTGCCGGCCCTGAGGGTCCCAGGGCCCACCTCCACCTCCTTCCGAGCCCTAAGTAAGATGGGCCCAGTCTCACATCCAGACGCCCCCGTGAGAAGCGTGTCGGGATTCAGAGTTTTTCAGATGTTAGGCACACGGAAAGCAGCCCTTTCCCCCCTTTCCTGTTTGCCCACTTCTGTCCCCTCTACACTTAAAAGAACCTAATTATAGGAATGAGATCACCAGGCAACTGAAAGTAACTCCTGACTTGTGCTCTCCTGAACGCACACCTCGCCTTGTCTACCGCGCTGATTCTTTTCCTAGATGAAAAGAAGTAAGAATGAAGAAGTAAGCAGTGAAAGAATGACCAGCTCTCTACCCCAGCAGCCCCCTTAGCAATCCTGCTGGAGACCACGCGGGCAAGAGAACGTGTGAAGAGTCAGCCAGCCTGCTCGCAATGAAGGAGGCAGAGCCAAACCCCCCCCCCCTCCCCCCCACCAAGGAGGCCGCACCCCCCCCCCCCCCCCCCCCCCCGCCGCCGTCACCCCGTCACTCTGACTCCACCCCCCCTGGAAGGCCTCCAACTCCTGGAAAGCTTTCGGCAGAGCCCTCTTATGGGAAAGGTGAGAGAGGGGCGTGGGTAGTTGTTGCAGACTTCTTGGTGTCAGACCCTTTGTTCTTCTATGTTTTGTTTTTTGTTTTTTAACATCTTCATTGGAGTATAATTGCTTTACAATGGTGTGTTAGTTTCTGCTTTATAACAAAGTTAATCAGTTATACATATACATATGTTCCCATAGCTGATCTCCCTGAGCTATGCGGCTGCTTCCCACTAGCTATCTATTTTACGTTTGGTAGTGTATATATGTCCATGCCACTCTCTCACCTCGCCCCAGCTTACCCTGCCCCCTCCCTGTGTCCTCAAGTCCATTCTCTAGTAGGTCTGTGTCTTCATTCCCGTCTTACCCCTAGGTTCTTCGTGACCTTTTCTTTTTTCTTACATTCCATATATATGTGTTAGCATACGGTATTTGTTTTTCTTTCTGACTTACTTCACTCTGTATGACAGACTCTAGGTCCATCCACCTCACTACAAATAACTCAATTTCGTTTCTTTTTATAGCTGAGTAATATTCCATTGTATATATGTGCCACATCTTCTTTATCCATTCATCCGGTGATGGACACTTAGGTTGCTTCCATGTCCTGGCTATCGTAAATAGAGCTGCAGTGAACACTGTGGTACATGACTCTTTTTGAATTATGGTTTTCTCAGGGTATACGCTCAGTAGTGGGATTGCTGGGTCACATGGTAGCTCTATTTGTAGTTCTTTAAGGCACCTCCATACTGTTCTCCAGAGTGGCTGTACCAATTTACATTCCCACCAACAGTGCAAGAGTGTTCCCTTTTCTCCACACCCTCTCCAGTATTTATTGTTTCTAGATTTTGTGATGATGGCCATTGTGACCGGTGTGAGATGATATCTCATTGTAGTTTTGATTTGCAGATCCTTTGTTCTTGAGGTTAGGTCACAGTCAGGTCACGATGATCCTGTAAGTCTCCACCAAACAAACGGTACTCCCTGTTCTGACAAGAAAAAGCGAAGGTCCCAAGGCTCAGCTTTCGCCCACCGAGGTCCAGGTCCGGGCTAAGAGACGGGGGTCCCTGCGGGGGTGTGGTTACCTGCCCTGGAGCGTCTGTCCAGCACCCAGCCTGGGTCCTCCCGCCAGTGCCCAGGCTGAAGAGGCAGATCTCAGCTGGCGGCACCCTCGGGCCGGGTCCCCAGACCCTGCCCAGCCGTCATCACTGAGGGAGCCAGGCGCCCAGGACCCAGCCGGCCCTCAGGCTCCTCGGGCCGCCCACACGGTGGTGGGGGGGGAGGGTGCCAGGTCCCACGGGCTGAGACCCATGCAGACTGCCGCTGCCATGAGGTCGCAGAGGCGGGGATGGCGGAGAGGCTCACGGCCGCCTCAAGGCCTCCGCCCCGCCAGTGGGCGGCCTTGGCGAGGGCTGCGGAGCCCTGCAGGGCATACCCCCAGCCTGTGCCCAGGCCCGCAGCTCACCCGCCAGCCGCCAGCCCGAGGCCGGAGGGTCTGGAGAGCCCCGGAGAGAAGGCCGCCATCCGCGTCTTACCTCGCTCTGCACCGGAGGCCCACCGCCCCGCCGACCGCCGGCCTAGCGGGACCGCTACCCACCGCTCTGAACAGCCCGCGTCAGCGGTCTCGCGGTAACCGTTGCCTAGTAACTAGGCGCGCAGCAATGGCCGCGTGCTAAGGGCTGCGCGTTACTGCACTCCTGCCCCTCTCCACGGGGGTGACGCTGGGCCTGCGTAGGGGGCCAGGACGTGGACAACTCTGGGGGCCTCACGGGTGGTCCCAGCATCCGAGGGCGTCTGGGGGACCTCAGGCACCGGCAGAGGCAGGCCCGGCTCCCTTGGGACAGCCCTGCTGTTGTGGCGTCCACGCTCCCGACCAGCCCTGGGGTGGGCTCTCTGTCCGGGGACACTGGTCCGGGCCTCCCCGACATGGGCTGTCGTCGCTCGTGGGGCCTGGGCTCCCCCCTCCTCCTCGCCACGCCCTCCCTGGGCTCCGCCCCCTCACAGCACATTGTCCAGCGGGCAGCTGCCCACCTTGGCTGCCACGGGGAGCTCAGGCCTCCGTCCTCGGGCGGAGCCCTGAGGGGGCAGCAGCCTCACGTCACAGAACGGGGGGCGGGGCGGGGGGTGGCGCAGGGGGCGCCTGGGCCCTGAGGTGTCGCGGTGTCAGCCCTGACATTTCTGTGGCCGTTTCAAGCCCACCCGACCCCCGGGCTCTCCTCAGCGGGCCCTCTGCGCATCTTACGCGGATGCTGAGCTCTGGTGAATAAATGCAGGCAGACGGCAGCAGAGCCTTGAACACCCGGCAGGTTTATGTCCGGAGGGAGGGACGTGGCAGGTGCGGACCCTCCACCGCGGGCCTTCCCCCTGCCCCCGAGGGAGCGGCGTCCGAGGAGCAGCCCCTGCCAGGCACCCTTATCTTCCCGCTGCCTCTCAACATGTCCACTCCCGCTGTGCCCAGGAGGCCCTCCAAGCGAGATCCAAGCACTGCGGGTTTGACAGAGCCCAGGGTGCCCGCCCCCGGCTTTGGTTTGGGAGTCGAGTGCAGGGCAACACGGAGCCGCCAGGCTGAGGCATTTCCAGCCCCGGGAACTTTCCCAAAGCCTCGGGACCTTAAGCCATGCTGGCTTAGCAAGTGGGGCTCTGTCTGTCTCCAGGGCCAGGCCAGGGCCCCCGCCAGGCTGGGCTGGACCCACGTGAGGAGCGGCAGAGGATGAACCTGGCCCGAGGGCGCCGAGGAGGCAGGTTGGGCAGGGGCCAGGCCACGTTCTGCATCCTGAGGGACGTGGTCTAAGAGCCTGTCAGCGTCCCAGGCCAGTCTTGTTCTCGGTCAAAGATGACCATTATTCTTCGGAAAGTATTTTGTACAGACGATAGCAGAAGGCAGATGAAGGCGTGAACGTTTTCAGGAATCACATTTTCAGTATCAAGACAGACAGAGTCAAACCAGTGGGATGAAGTAAAGATCTGGGGACGTGGGAACTGATTCTTCCCAGGAGCTCGTGGTCCCCAGGTCCCAGGACACGAGGACAGCAGGAGCCACAGTGTCCGGTGCTGCCCTGAGAGTACTGGGCTGCGGGCCAGCGCCAAGCCCGGAAGTCTGGCCTGCTGCACAGGCGGGTGACCAGTGCGTGTCCAGGGCTCGGGCAGGAGGGCGCTGGGGTGGACGTTCCTCCGAGCAAACGCCGTGCCCAGGGCCGGCCTCGCGGAGTCACAGGCCATGCGCACAGGGTGGGGGAGCAGCCCTGGCCCCCACGTGCTGCCCACCAGGTCCTCGGCTCTGTCCTGGCTTCCGCCCATCCTCCCCACGACACCTGGGCCTCCAAGGGCGCCTCTGCCCTTGCCCGGGGAGGGCAGGGAGCCTGGGGGCCGGGCAGCAGGGGCAGGTGGGGGGGGTCTGGGAAGGAGAGGGAGACAACCAAAGACCAAAGGGGGCAGGGGGTGTCGTGGAGGGAGCAGCACAGGGGAGGGGAGTGGGGTCTGTGGGGCCCGGGCTGCGGCCTCGACAAGGAACACTGGCCCCAGAGCCCAATACTGGCCCCCTGGCCCGTCCCAGAGTGTGCCGACCCCTGGTCCAGGAGGCCCCCTCTGGGGGCCAAGGGTCCTCTGGTCACATGAGCTGCGTCTTTGGCCCTGAAGGCCTAGAGAGCCTCTGCCAGGGCTACGGGTACCGGACACCCCAGCAAGGTGCTCGTGTGGTGGGAAACGCCCTCCCCTGGACGCCCAGGACCATCGTCTGTGTCCACCAGAGAGACACCCGCCCTGTGCACCGTGCACACGCGTGCAGACCGGGCCCTCCCTGTGCCGTGGGCGGGGACCACGCAGGCCCTGGGAAGGAGCGCAGGACAGGTGTCTGCTTCTCTGTGGAGCCTTTATTGAGTTTCCAGGGAGACCTGCTTCCCCCGTGACACCTCCAGACCCGCGGGGACCTGGGAGGCGGGGACTGCAGAGCACATGGAGCTGTGCGGTGTGCCGTGGCCACGAGGCCGGGACAGAGGGCACGAGGCGGTTTCCTTCCGGGTAGGCGTGGCCAGGCGGGAAGCCGGCTCACTGGCGCCCGGTCTCGGGGGCAGCCCAGTCGCGCGGGTAGAGCTGCCGGACAAGGTCTGGCTTGTTGACCTTCCCCATCTGGTTCCGCGGGATCTCCTCCACCAGCAGGAGTTCCGAGGGCACCGCGTACGGGGCCAGGACACCACTGCAGAGACAGGCCAGGCCTGAGGGCAGGAGCCACGGGCGCGGGTGGCGCCTCCGCAGCGGGTCGGGGCCTGGTCCTGGGCATGGAGACGCCCCTCTGCCCACTGGGGGAGAGGGTGAACCTCACCCAGGGCCAGGCCTCCCGAGACCCCGCCCCGGAGCCCCTGAGCTGGAAAGAACTGGTCCTACCTCGCGGCCCATTCACTGCAGCCCTGGCCGGACAGCTGGGGGAGGTGGGTGGGCACCTCACAGACCCCTGGGTGCTATGACCACACACGCCAGCCGGAGCCACCCTCCCACCCCAGAGCCATCTGGGTCCAGCAGCTGGCCTGCAGCCGCACCCCAAGAGGAGCACCGTTAGACAATGCTCCCTCCTGTGAACGGCCACGTGGCGGGCCCAGCCCCAGGCAGCTCTGCACACCACGCCCAGGCTTCTCCTGAGCAGAGCTGCCTGCTCCTTGCTTGAGGGCCGCACGTGGGGCCCTTCAATACGGAACCAGTAGGTGCACAGGATGCTGCCTGGGGTGGTGGGGAGAGGGGCCACCCATCGTGGCCTCCTGGCGCACAAAGGCTCCACGCTCTGTGGCTGCCGCCAGTGACGCAGACAGCGGGGCATCGGGCAGTGGGGCTCTGGACAGCAGCACCGCGAAGTCTGCTCGGGGCCCGCAGGAGTAGGGACAGCCTTGGCCACTCGGGACGTGTGCAGCAAGGGGCCGGCGAGGGCGGGCAGAGGAACCCCATCCCTTGGCCTCAGTAGCTGGTGCCTACATCCACCTGCCCACAGATGGAGAGAAACGCTGTTACCTCGGGGCAGCCCTGGCGCAAATCGCCTGCCCCGGGCCAAAGGTCACGGAGGTTCCCCCAGGGACACCCGCTCCCCGCCCCCCGCGGCACAGCACCGCCTCCCAGGCGGCACCCACCTCCTCTCCGCCCACCAGCGTGGAGAGGGTCAAGGGGCAGCCGCAAGGATGCAGGCCCTGCGTGAAGAGTAGGTGAGGCGGGAGTGGAGCATGAAGAAAAAGGAAACCCCGTCTGTCTAGAAGCCCAAACCCGGAGAAGGTCTCCTTCAAGGATGAAGATGAAGTTAAAGGCTTCAGACACAGGAGCTTGGGGTCCCCAGCAGCTGACCCACTCCCCACACTTGAGGGTCTGTGGTGGGAGGGGCTGCCATGGGGGGAGAGTGCCAGACAGGATACGTGTCATCTTCCTTATTCGTGAATCCTCCTTAAGAGATAACCGTTTGAACAAAAAGTGGGGCTTGTAACGACATAAAAGGTAGGACGACAGCGCACAGGCGGGGTGGAGTCACAGCAAAGGCAGGACACACAGCCGGAAGCCTAACTCACAGCCACCACGAAGAAGCAGAAGCTGAGGACGTAGAGGGATGCACTCTAAAGCCTGCAGACCCGCGGATTCTGAGAACAAACCCTGTTCTCCTACGAGGGGCGTCAGCTTAGCAACTGGTCTCATAGGAAACTGTCAGAGCAGCTCCCAGGCCAACTGAGGCCCTGGGCAGGAGCACAGCAGGGCTGAGTGGTTTGTTACAGAGCCAGCTTCCCTGTGGGAAAAGCCCCGTGGGCAGCGGCGGCCTCAGCCCCACCGCTCAGCCCCGTGGGGAAGGGAGGTGGCCCGGGGGCCCAGCAGCATCTCCCCTCCACGGTCTGATCGGACGGCAGCGCCTGCGCCATCTGGACACCGGATTTCTGAATTATCCCCGGGGTGTAAGCCCCACGTGGGCCACTGCAACTGGACAGTTTGGTGGGCGGGCCACGTCCCAGACCGGGAACGTGGTGCTGGGCCAACGAGCCCAGAGGCCACGCCGGCCCCTCCAAGTGTCGCGGTGCCTGAGCTGGGGCGGGGGTGCCAGCCTCCCCCAACTCCGCTAGGAGCACAGCGCAGGGTCTGCAGGAGGACGTAGGACAGACCTTTGCTTGGGGGTCTTGTAAGATTCAAGAATCTTCAGAAATGAAAAAAATGGCAGCAAAAGGGAAGACATTATTAAAAAAAAAACAAACCCTTTAAAAAAAGACCCCCAAATGGCAACGAACAGGACACAGAAAGAAAGAGCAGCTTCGCTGAGCCAACGTCTGGAAAGCTCGGAGTGAGGCCCCTCCCCCACTCCCCCCATGAGGGGGGCGGAGCCGGCCCTGCGCTCTGAAAGGAAGGTCCCTGCCCTCCCTCCGGGGGTGGGCAGCCGCGGGGTCACTGTCCAGTGACTGCCCCGTGGGAGGACACAAAGCCCAGGGAACCGGCCACGTGGAGGCTGCAGGCTGACCACCCGCCCCAGGCCCGCCCTGCTGGGAGCATCTCCCCAGGGACCCAAAGCCTCAGCACACAGCGCAGCGCCGCCCCAGCCGGGCCCCTGCGGTGAGGGGACGACCGGAGCCCCGGGCATGAGAAGGAGCAGGTCTGAGGCCGGGAGACCTGCTCTCAGCACAGGATGGCAGGTTCTTTCTTTTAACAAAGCAACTGTTTAACCAAAGCGGCAAAGCTGACTAGAATCCTCTTCGTGCCTTTGTGAAACTGCAAAGTTCCCACTGTGATTTTGCAAATCCAGGGGAATCTAATCGCCCAGCTGTGCTGCCCTGATAAACAAGGATTCCTCCTGTTTGTGAAATCACGGTGGCTGAGCCACAAATATCTTCAGTGCAGAGGAGGAGGCAAGTCGGGTAGGGGTGTGGGGAGAGAGGACCAGAAGGAGGGACCTCTTGGATCTAAAATAAAGGCCTTGGGGATGTAACTCACAGCTCCTTTCTGAGCTCTGGCCTGGGGCCAGCAGCGGCGCCCAGGGGCCCGTGTGATGCCCTGCGCTCAGCACGTGCTTCGGGCCCAGCGGCGCCCCGAACCTGCTCAGCCCACGCCCTGGGGTCCCGTCAGGATGGCTCTGAGCTCAGCTCCTGGGAACGGACCTTCTTTGACAAGGCTCCTCCTACACCCAGGAGGGGACGCACTCACTCACCATGGGACCCCGTCCACCTCTGACCCGGCCTCGGAAGCTTACACCTGAGTCAGGGGTCGGGGTCCTGCATCTGCTCCTATCGTCACGACACAGCTTCCCTGGGGCCCTTTGCACGCGCGTATGAGTGTGTGTGTGCATGTATGTGTGTGCGTGTGCGCGTATGTGTGTGTGCGCGTGTGTGTGTGGTGCGGGGAGCGCAGCTCCTACAGGACCACGTCACCTGGCCCTCAGCCCCCAGCCCGAGACCCCGCCCACCCGCCCGGCCCTCACCTGGCCCACTCTTTGAGCTCCCTGTGGGACAGCGAGTGTCCCTCTCGAAGGGTCACCACTGCGGTGACCCGCTGGCCCCACGTCACATCTGGAACTCCGATCACAGCCACGTCTGTGGAGAAAGAAGAGGGTGGGGGACCTCAGAAGCACAAGAGGACGAGCACCGCAGGCTGCAGGGCAGCGGGCACCTGCGGGAAACACCTGGGACCCGCCGCCCCAGGGAAGCCCGCCTAGTGGCCAGAGACAGGGAATACGGAGTCTCTGAGGGACCAGGACGGCCCAGGACGCCACCACTCCTGAGCACGGGTCCCGGCCTGCACCTGGCCAGCCTGGACCCAGGCGGGGGGCGGGGGAGCAGGCCGACTGTGGGGAGGGGTGGGGAGGGGATGGGAGGCAGGCCCTGGTGCTGTGCCCCCTCATGGGTACCTGGTCCCCGTTTTGTCAACAACACACACACAGGAAGACACATCTGGACTGGTCCCGAGACAGCCCGGGTGGCCGAGCGCAGCTGTGTCATCCAGAGGTCAGGGTCCGGGCACCTGGCCGCTCACCCGTGATGCTGGGATGGGCCAGCAGGAGCCGCTCCACCTCCAGGGCGCTGACCTTGTAGCCGCCACTCTTGATGATGTCCACGGACGTGCGGCCGCGGATCCAGTAGTTGCCGTCCTTGAACACGGCCGTGTCACCTGGGGAGAGGCTCGGGTCGGTGGGAGGCACCTGGCTCGGCCACAGTGGGCGCTGCACACGCATGAGTGCCACCCTCCCCGGCACGTGTGGGCCCGCGTCTGGGACGAGGCAGCAAGCAGCAGGCGGACGGCTGGGACCTCGCGTGACGCCGACGCCAGACGCCTCCGTGGCCCTGCCCCGAGGCAGGTGGCGGCGTCCCACAGGGACGGGCGGGACCCCCATGAAACAGCCCAGGACCACGGAGGCAGGAAAGAAGAGCTTCAGGGCCTCCCTGGGGTCCTGGCCACAGCAGGGCCACAGCAGGCCCTTTCCCAACAGGGCTCTGGGCCATACGCAGTGTCACACGGGGGTCTGGCAGGAGGGAGGGACCCCACCCCCCCACCCGCCATGCTCAGCACCGGGGCTTCCCCACCCACTTCTCCTGGACGTGGTCCTGGCGGGAGCCCTGCCCAGCTAAGGACCCACGCGGTCCCACCTCAGGAGGCGCTAGAGACCTGAGCGGGGGGCGGCGAGCTCAGTGAGGGCCGGGGCCGCACGCCAGACAGGGCATTGCGGTCTGGGGGGTGGGGCTGAGTGTGAGGGTGCACACACACGGGTGCACGGACGTGTGAGCCTGTGCACGTGGGGCCCCCACCGTGCACTCTGAGAGCGGCGCTGATGCTTCACCGTCTGCTCTCACACACCCCATGCTGCACATGGCTGAGTAGCTGGAATAACTCATCAATACTTCATGATACATCACACCGTCCAGCGCAGGAGGCCCCTCCGTCAGCTCGCACTCCTGGCGACCTGCCACGCGGGGCGCCCCAGCCTAGGAAACAAGACGGATGGCACTGCCTGGCTGGCTGCGGTGGGCTGTGATGCAGCAGGAGCCGGGCTCCTGCAGGTGTGGGGCCTCCTGCCTGATGGGAAGCAGAAGGAACGAGAGGCACTGTGGTCTCCAGACAGAGGGATGGAGCAGGTGGCCGGCTGGCGGGCAAGGATGCAGGCGTGGAGTAAAAAGCGGGCCGCAGGGACAGGACGCAGTCTGCCCCCATCCCATGAGGCCCACCGGGGCCCCTCTCCCACTCCTACTGTGTGGCCCCGGCTCCAGCCATGTCCCCTCCACACTGGACAGCCACTGGGTCTCCCGACGGCTTCCCAACCACTGGACACCAGCCCCTTAAATGCACCCAATGGCCCAGCCAGGCCTCCGCCGGCCAGAGACCCAGCAGTGTTGGGGGTGGGGGTCATTGCCCTGCCCTGGTCCTGCCAGGGATGCCCCCATTGCCCATACCAAGGCCGACATGGCTTCGGGGCCTCTGGCCATGTCGCCTGCACCCTCTTTGCTCTGTGTGACGCCAACTTAAGTCAGGGTGAGAGCTCCCCACGGCTGCACCCACACGCCCTACGCAGGGCCCCCAGCCACGGCCTTCACCCCAGGGGTGCTCACACCCGCTACCCCATCTGCGGCATCTGGTTCTCCATCTGCCCGATCCCCTTCACTGTCCCTCTGCTCAGACGTCACTTCTGTGGCATCTCCAGGTGCCCCTCCCCACGCACCAGCTCACAGTTCCAGAGGCTTCCTTGCACTGTCTCCTGTCACCAGCTCTTACACTGACCCTCGTCCAGCCTGATGAAGAGCAGTGAGAATTAGGATCTTCTCTGAGAAAAGCCGGGCACCGCAGTGGTAGGGATGGCGCTGAGGACACACGGACACTGTCCCGGGGGAGGCCTGGGGGTCTGTGTGCTGAGTGAGGAAAAGCCCCGCGGGAGAGCCCTGCTGCTTCCCGGGACCACCGTCAGGCAGGGTCGCCGACAGATGTCAACACCACCCTGGACTACCCGGTGGCCTCAGTGTGATCACACACGTCCTCGTGAGGGGGCGGGGCAGAGGGATATTCGAGACACAGAAGACCCAGGAGGGGCCCCGTGGAGACGGAGGGAGGAGGCCCCAGCGGCTCTGTGCCCCTCACACGTGGCTGTGCAGGAGGCCAAGGAAGACGCTAGAAGGAAGACGAAGACACGACAACCTCCCAGAGCGGAGCGGAGCCTGAGCACACAGCTTGGTTCTCTCCCTCTTGGAGTAAAATCAACAGCAACTGTCGTTTTCAAGGCACAAAGCCGCGCACAGGAGACAGGAGAGGGCGTGATGGTGAGGGAACTGGCGGCTGGAAAGCAAGCGGACAGACCCCGCGGGCTGGAGGGAGGCTGTGTGAGGCGGGTTACGGCCAGGGTGGCAGGCGCCCTGCGGGAGGTGGCGAGGACGGGCCGAGCGAGGAACAGCGGCACTGGCCCCCAGCGCACGGCCGCCAGTCTTTCTCTGCGGACGGAGGAGGGTGGATGGCAACACAGGAGCCCATGGGCCCTGAGCAGCGGTGGCTGGGCCTCCCCACCCCCTCTTCTTGCTCTCAGCCCCCGGACCCCTGCTGGGCATGAGAGGGGAGAAAATCAGCCATCAACCCCCGGAATTACGAGACGTGGTCTCCAGAGCCCCCGGGGTGCATGGCCTGTCGACTTCAGGGCTCCCAGCGCAAAGGGAAGATTCTCTAGGACCTCAAGAGGGGAAAGGTCACGACGCGCCAGGAATAACGCAGCTGCAGCCGGCAGCACACGTGGAGGCCTGACAGCGGTAAAGACAATTTCTAGCCCAGACTCCTGTACCCGGCCCAGCCAGGACGAAGACGCTGGCAGACACGAGCTCTCCAGAGCTCACCTCCCACCCGCCCAGCCTCAGGAGGCTCCTGGGGAACGTGGCCGACAAGGAGAAAGGAGGCCGGTGGGAGCTGTGCACTGGCGTGGGTGGCAAGCACGGGGGGGGTCTCCCAGGAGGACTGGAGGCCAGAACAGATGAGCCCTCCCGCCTCGGGAAACACTGCGGCTCCCACGTGGCTCAACCCTGAACGGTGTGTCCACAGGCGTCTGGCAGCCTCCAGGTGGCCAAGATGGGCACGGCTGGGGTACGAGGGCCACGCGTCCTTCTTCCCAAACCAAACAGACCGCTGGAGTCTTCCAGCTGCGCACGTGGGACCTTGATAAAAACAAAGATCTTCTGCCCAGAGGTCTGAGGCCGACCAGGGTAGACACAGCGGCCAAAAGGCAGCGTAGGGACTTTCCTGGCAGTCCGGTAGTTACGACTCTGTGCCCCCAATGCAGGGGGCCCAGGTTCGATCCCTGGTTGGGGAACTAGACCCCACATGCCGCAACTGAAGATCCTGCGCACCACAACTAAGACCTGGTGCAGCCAAACAAACAAACCAAACCCAGAAAAACAAACAACAACAGAAAACAAAGGGCAGCGCAGAGGCCCAGCAGGAGTGCGCAGGATGGAGACACGCCGTCCGCACAGAAGCCACTCCGGGTGGCTCAGAGACTTAACTCCAACAAAGCCGGGCATTTCAGAAGAACATGGAGGAAAAGCTCTTGACGACCGCTGGGGAACAAAGGGACGAGCAGCAGACAGGCCCGCGACACAGCCCCAGCCTCCTGTTCACAGGGCGCCTCCACACAGAGCCCAAGCCCCGCGGGGCGGCGGGATCGGCAGCCTGACCACACCACACGGCCTGGGGGACCTGGGGGCCCTGCCCAGGGCTCTGGTCGTACGCGGTCAGCAGACGTGAAGGGGTCGACCACCTCCAGCTACACGTGCTGTCACACCCCTAACACGAAGCCCTGGGCGCCCTCCTTTCAACACGCTGCCTGATTCCTAACTATTGTTGGTCAAAATAAAAGCACTGCTTTCTGGAGAACCACATCAGAGCTCAGCGTGGCTCCGAGTGAGCGGCTGGGCAAGAGGACGGAGCTCACGCCTGGGTCCACCCTGGGGCCTTCGTCACATGACAACTGGGAAGATTTTATACTTCTCGTCCGTGTTTGTAAAGGAACGAAGCTTACTGAGGAAACACTGGCAGAGAGAAAACAAAGGGACAGACGACAATCACAGAGACAGCAGCTAGCGTCTGTGCCTGGCGGTGCAAACCTGCATGACGGCCACACACACACACACACACACACGCGCGCGCATGGCGCACGCCAGCAGGGGCTCCCTCAGGCCAGGGCCACTCGAGTCATGGCTGCAGAAGGCTCACGCCCCTCCCGGCCGGGACGCACCACGAGGCGCCCACACGCCCAGCGCAGAGCAACGGGCTCCGATTCCCCACTGTATAAACATCGCACGCACCCCCCGCACCCGGCTTCCTTTGAACGGATTCCCAGGAGCCCTCCTGACACACAACCCGCCCGCGGGTGCCAAGCACCTGCCTCACAGCACCAAGTGTCAACTACGGGAGAATCTCTGCCAGTTTGGTGAAAGGAGACTGTTTCCATACTTGCTCTTTCACCACCAGGAAGTAAAACGTTTTCCGTATTTTTATGTCCAATTGCACTTCCTCTTGATCTGCCCGTGGCCGTGGCTCGTTTTTCCTACTGGGGCTACTGGGCTCAAGGGACCCACTCCCTCGGCCCCAGTTGGCCCTCACCGACTTCTCGGTGGACTCCACGTTCCACCAAGGCTGCAGACCTCGGCCACGTGTGCACCCAGGGCTCTCTTGTTTCCTGCTATATAAATAGCCTTTTATGTTTTCCCCTGATAACATCATGTGCTCATTAGAGAAGGAAAAAAAGGGAGTAAACTCAGCACCAAGATAGCCCCGTTAACGTTCTGCAGGGTTTCCTTACAGACCTTTTCCCCAGTTACCTAAATTTCTTCTATGACTGTGTTGACGTGTCGTTAGGTGTGTGCAGTTTACTACGTCACTTCCTAACAGTAAACGGTGCAAGGAAATCTTCTTTAGAATAAGGCAGAGCTACCATTTGTTTCCTCGTGTTCAGTCACAGTCTTTCTACCATGTCCAGAGGGTAGGAGCTGTAGCCCAGCTCAGCCCAGTCCCTGCATCCCTGTGTTCTCAGCTCCATCCGCAGGGTCAAGGTAAAGCCCTGGCAGAGGGGGGCTCCCGGCACTGCCATCTCCCTGCCCCGGCCGGCACTGGGCCCATTGCGTGTGGAAGGTTCTCCCCAGCCTGGCGTGCGCAGGTGGAACACGATCAGGGTCGCCATCGGAGGTGCTTCTGGATAGAGAACTTTGGTTTCCGGCCTGAGCTGCAGCCAGGACCCCTGGGGCTGGCAAGGAGCTCCCCGGCGATGGAAACCAGGCTTCACGCAGGGCAGGGAGGGTGGCCATGGCTGGCATGGCCGAGGGAGGCCTCTTTCCTCTCGTCCAGACACGGAGGAGGCCTCTGAGGAGAAGCCGGCCGGGTGCGGCCCCTCTCCAGCCCGGGCCACAATCTGTGTGGCAGGAAGGGCTGGCCAGGGAAAGGGTTAAGTTTAATTCATCCTGATTTCTATTTAATATCACGCTCTCCCCCGGAGGAGCAGCAGCTGTGAGCTGATTGCCGCGCTCATTATGCAGCCTGTATCGCTAATGGCCTGTGACAAAGGCACGCGGCTTCCAGGCCTCACCCCCGAGAGCCAATTAAACACACAGACTCCCTTCCTGTTTGCTGCGCATTACAATGAAATTAAACTGAATTTCAAAATCATTTTCTCCTAAAGACATCTCTTTACGATAATTAATGCATGCTATTCCTTTCAACTGAAATATTCATCACGACCAGGGACTAAAATGTTTTACCGCTGACTGCCCTGCACTTCGCAGCGCTGCCGGCCCAGTGTTCAGCGAGCCCTGCTATCTGCAGAATCCACAGGGCTTTGGTTCCTGTGCTTCAAAAAAAAAAGTTGCAGCTCTTTAGCTGCATTTAAAAATGAAACAGGATGGCCACCAGGAAGTCAGATTTCCAAGTCAGGACACTCGGAGGGCTACAGGAGGGACCCACAAAAAAGCAAGATTAGCTCAAAAGTAGTATTGCTTAAATACTGCATTTAAAGGACAATGATAGTGGTTGGCTGCCACCAGGCTGGCCCGTATGAACGCGAAGTTTACAAAGGGAAGCCAGGGCGTGTGTGAATGTGCCGCACGGACAGGTGGCCCGGGCTCCTGGGCCCCAACCACAGAGCCCTCTGCTGGCGCTGGCCAGGGCTCCTGGCACAGGCCTCTGCTCTGGGGGGCCCGAAATGGAGCCCCGAGGTCCCCCAGGAGAACCCCTCATGTGCCCCTTCCCCCTCAAGCCCCACCCAGCGGAGCCCCAGCACCCCGAGACGTCGGGGGGTCTGCACGTGGCCGCCGGCTCTGTCACCTGGTGACCTCAGGCCCACGACGGCGGCAGATTGGAGGTGATTTCTGCCCTTCCTAACCCGTGCGGCCTGAGCCCGTGGAGAAGACACGCGTGTGCTATCGGCCGGCCGCAGTTCCCCAAGGCGTTACCAGGCCAAGGACACACCCACTGCGCGCCTCCTTGCCCACCCCCAGGTGCGCCCGGCACCCCGTCACGGCCGCCCCCCTCACACGGCGTTTCTCTTCAGCTCTGTGGTCCACAGAAGACCTGGCAAGAGGTGCGTTTCTAATTATGAGGCCAGCACATGACGGACGGGGGAATAGGCCTTCCTTTGGAAAATACTGCTTTAAGATTATTATTATGAAATAATGCATTTTCAGTACAAAACTTTTAGAAATACAGACAGGCAATAAGAAAAAGAGAAAGCCCAGAACCCCACCTTCTGGCTGTCACGAGCTGCTGTTCCGGTGTGTCGTGTGAACACAAACGCAGTGAATCAATGCAGCTGCAACCGTGAGTACACCCAGTACCTGCCGAATCGTCCACATGGATGGGACCGCTGGGACCAAGGAGGGGGGCGGGGTGGACGGAAGGGGTGGGGCTCCTCAGAGCGGGCCCCGGGTGCGCGTGCGGTGAGAGGGCTCCGAGGTTGGGGGGTGGGTGCCTGCCTGCCCACGCACAGACCCTGGGCTCTGGCTCCACCGGCTGCTCTAGCAGGCGAGAGAGTACAGGGCAGGGAGTAACGTAACGAGGGACCCAAACCAAAGTGCAAACCAACCTCCTTCTATGAAAACGGGGGCGGGGTTACAAAGCAGGGGGTGGCGGCGGCGGGGCGGGCGGGGCGCCCAGGAGGGTCTTGGAGGCGGAGTGCAGTGGTCACTCGGGAAGGAGAGTCTTGACCCACGAGGGGCAGAGGGACCACCTCGTGCAGGGCTGCTGGGCCAAGGGACAGGACGGGAGCCTGGCCACAGGGCTGGGGGCTGCTAGCCCTCCTGCGGGTCATGGCCTCAGGACCTTCCTTCTAGAGGCCTCAGGGGGGCTGGGGTGCAGTGTGGGAGGTGCAGCCTTTAAGACGGGAGCACAAAGTATACCCCACCCCATCTCTGCCCGCCAGGGAGGATTGTGGGGACGTCCCGGTGCGGTGGTACCCGGGTGACCCTCCCGTCCCCTCTGGACCCTCCTTCCTACCTGTTTTGAACCAGCCGTCCGAGGTGAAGGCGGTTTTTGTTTCCTCCGGCTTGTCCCAGTATTCCCGGAACACAGAGGGCCCCCTGACCAGGAGCTCCCCCTCCTTCTCTTCAAACCCTGGGGTCACCTGCAACAGGAGAGAGAGGTGGGCGTCAGAGCTCGCCCCTCCAGGGCACGTCTCCACCTGCCCCCGCCCCTCCCGAGGCCCACACGCTCTCCTGAAATTAGACACTTGGGTGGGAAAGACGGCAAACGCAGCTTTCCGTGCCCACCTCGGTCACGCCGGCCGCCACCTCCGCGCCTGCCCCGCCCGGGGGGCTGTCCACCTCGCTTCCCCAGAGCTCGCTGCTGGGCCCCATTTGCCTGACTGTCCACCTCCAAAGGCCACGCTCCCGTGAAACTCTGTCTTCAGGGTGACTCTTGGACCGACTGCGGACACGGGAGGAGAGGGCAAGCTGCCCACACCTGCCATGGCTGCTGGAGAAGCTCGGGGTCGGCAGCTTCGGGGTAGGAAGGGAGCCCACAGGGCAGCCCGTTAAGGAGGGAGAGCCGGGCGCCTAGGACAGCGAGGTGGTCAAGAAGCAGGGATCTCAGCGTTTCCCCTGCTGGGAGCACAGCGAGGGCGGGAAGGGGGCTGCGTGTTAGAGGACACGGAGTCGATGTCTGTGATGCCAGGAAAGGATACAGCGAGGCGGCACCACACGCCGCGGGGCCCAGCGAGCCCCTCGGGTGCACCGTCGCTGGCTCCGCGCTCACAGAGTTGGCTGACAGTTAACTGTGACCCATGAGATCAAGTGCCGTACAGGCCTGTTCAGCTCATCAGCTCCCACCTGGGATGAACTTTCCTGGGGAAAGAATATCCCCCTCTTTTAAAAAAAATCAGAGGCCCTTTGAAACGTGCTGTAAAATCGTCTGAGTTGTTTGTCTGAGGCCTGGACGGCAAGCTGGACGCCCCCGGGGCCAACCCTGCAGGCAGAGGGTGAGGAGAGTCTGCCCCACAGCAGCTCTGTTCCCAAGCCTTGCTGTCGACTCATCACCCTGGTTCTCACACAGGAGTGATGTCACCGAGGGGCCCGGGCTGCATGTTCTGGGCCCAGCCGAGCTCCTGCCATCAGCCTGCTCAGAGGAGGTGTTTGTTTGTTCAACTAAACTGCAGGCTTTATTTGTATTTCACCATTTTTTCCACTGCCATCCTTTATCTCCTCCACTGCCAAGGTCAGCCTGGCCATGGGGTGGCACACCTGCCGGGCAGGTATACACGGCAAGGCAAAGGCTGTGAAAATAATCTGACGTGGAAACCAGCCCCAGAGATGGCAGGTTGGAACTGGCAGGCTTAAGTCAACTAGATAATAGTAAAACAAGAATACCAACACCCTCCACTGGAACTGAACAAGGTCCAGAGTCTCATTACACGATGTCCAAAATGTCTAGGACACAACACAAAATTGCTCAGCACATGGAAAGCCAAGCAAGTGTCCACCCTTATGGAAAAAGGCCATCAGTGCAGGACAACACCAGACGGCACAGATGCTGGGAGTGCCTGAGAAAGACGTGAAAGCGCATGTCATCAATGTGCCTGAGAAAGACGTGAAAGCACATGTCATCAATATGCTCCAACAAGTAAGGGAGAAAACACTGCAAATAAGCGGGAATATAAAGTCTCAGCAGAGAAATAAAAGACACAGAGCAGAACCAAATGGAAATGTTAGAACTGAAAAACACAACAACAGAAATAAGAAAAATTTGCTGGATGGGCTCAAGAGCAAAATGGAGATTACAAAGCAAAGAATCTGAGAATTTGAAGACAGAACAATAGAAGTTACCCAATCTGAACAACAGAGAAAAAACTATTGGAAAAATTGAACAGAGTCTCAGAAGCCTACACCAACACCATAAGGGCTAACAGTCACACTATTGGATTCCCAGAAGAGAAGCTAGGGGCAGAAAGATAGTTGATAAAATTTGGCTTAAAACTCTTCAAGTTTGGTGAAATACATTAATGTGCAGATTCAAGAAGCCCCATGAACCCCAAGCAGGACAAGCCCAGACACATCATAATCCAATCACTGAAAACTAAAAAGAAAGACAAAAATCTTGACAGCAGAGCATAACTTAGAGGCATTCCAACGACTACTGACTTCTCAGCAGAAACAATGGAGGCCAGAAAAAAGTGGAATAACATATTTTTTAAGTGTTGAAATAACTGTCAACCCAGAATTCCAAATCCAGTGAAAATAACCTTCAGGAATGAAGATAAAGTGAGGACATTCTTAGATGAAGAAAGAAGAGAATTTGTCGTCAGCAGATCTGACCTAAAACAAATGACTACAGAGTTTTCAGTCAGAACAGAAATGACACCCGAATGAACCTGGAAGATCAGAAGTAAAGGAAAAGCAACAGAACTGGTAAATATCTGGTTGAATAAAACTGACTATTCTTTTCGTCATGAGTACTTTAAAAATATTTTGACCATTGAAAGCAAAAATTGTAACATTGTTTAATGGAGCTTACCGTATACATAGACGTTACGTATGACAACAACAACCTAAAAGGGAGAGGGCAAAGTGACCCACAGAGTGGTGACAAAGATTGGAACATATGTATATGTATAACTGATTCACTTTGTTATAAAGCTGAAACTAACACACCATTGTAAAACAATTATACCCCAATAAAGATGTTAAAAAAAAAAAAACTAACCTCATTTCCATAAAGACAAGCAAAAGGAAAAAAAAACCTTTAAAAAAAATCCAGTTTTAGCAAGAACTTGGCTAAGTCAGTGTAGTAAGAGGCCCCCTCCACCCTGATATCTGCTCACCCTCATATCTGACCAGGTTCCTCATCCCCCACCATCTCGCAGTTGATGTCTGACCACCAGGCTTTCAGAGATCCTGTTAGGTCGGTTTAGCCAGAATCCCCCTGACCCTTGATGTTTCCTCTTTGCAAATTTCCATCCAACGACTCCACCTGCTCCTTGGCTGTGAACCCACACTTGCCGACGCTGTATCTGAAGTTGAGCTCAATCTCTCTCCCCTCCTGCAAATCCCACTGCAGTGGCTCCTACACCCATCGTGACGGTCCTGAGTCGGCCTCATCATCTTTTTTTTTTTTGCGGTACGCAGGCCTCTCACCACTGTGGCCCCTCCCGTTGCGGAGCACAGGCTCCAGACGCGCAGGCTCAGCGGCCATGGCTCACGGGCCCAGCCGCTCCGCGGCATGCGGGATCCTCCCTGACCGGGGCACGAACCCGTGTCCCCTGCATCGGCAGGCGGACTCTCAACCACTGCGCCACCGGGGAAGCCAACCTCATCATCTTTAACATGAGTGATGATTAATTTTTCTTTGACAGTACATGTAGTAGGAGTTCTGTGTTTTTCTGGAAGTGTCAAAATGTTGAGTCTAAGTAGATTTCAAAAAGTGAAGTATGTATTTTGTAGTCCCTAGAACAACTACTAAAAAACTAGAAGACATGTGTTCAAAAACTCAACAGATAAATTAAAAGGGAATACTAAAAAACTGACCCCAAAGAGGGCAGTTAGAGGGAAGTCAAGCAATGAGAAACCAAGGGACAGAACAGTAAGCAAATAACAAATGAGAGGCTTAAATTCAAACATATCAATAGTCACATTAAATGCACATGGTCTAAACTGGCCAATTAGAAGACAAACTTCAGATTAGATTAAAAAACATACATCATGCAACTGTGTGCTGTCTATAAGAAACTCATTTCAAATACAGTTACGTGGTAGGTTAGAAGCAAAGGGATGGAACAATATATACCATACAAACATCGATCGAAAGAAACGGAAGTGGCTATATTAGTACCAAACTAAATAAACTTAACAGCAGAATGTTAGCAGCAGCAGTACATGATGATAAAAGTCAATTCACCAAGAAGGCATAGTAATTATAAGTGTGTGCTCACCAAGCAACAGATTTTCAAAATTCATGAAACAAAAAACTGATAGGAGGGGGCCTCCCTGGTGGTGCAGTGGTTAAGAATCCACCTGCCAATGCAGGGGACACGGGTTGGAGCTGGGGTCCAGGAGGATCCCACATGCCGCAGAGCAACTAAGCCCGTGCGCCACAACTACTGAGCCTGCGCTCTAGAGCCTGTGAGCCACAACTACTGAAGACCGTGCGCCTAGAGCCCGTGCTCCACAACAAGAGAAGCCACCGCAATGAGAAGCCCGCGCACCGCAATGAAGAGTAGCTCCTGCTCGCCACAGCTAGAGACAAGCCTGCACGCAGCAACAGAGGCCCAACGCAGCCAAAATTAAATAAATAAATGTATTAAAAAAAACTGATAGAAGAAATAGACAGATAATTATAACTGGAGAATTCAACACTCCTCACTTGGTGCTTGAACTAGTAGTCAGAAAACCAGTATGGCTTTGAGAGACCTGAACACTACCATCAACCTTCTTCATCTAACTGACATTTACACCCCAACCAAAACCAGCAGAATACACACTCTGTTCAAGTGCACTAGAACAGTCACCAGGAAAGACCACATTCTGGGCCATAAAACACAGCTTAACAAATTTTTAAAAATTGAAATAATATCAAGTATGTTTTCTGACTGTAGTGGAATTAAACTGGAAATCAATAACAGAAAAATTGAACAACACACTTCTAAATTATCCATGAGTCAAGAAGAAGTCTTAAGGAAAATTAGAAAATTAGAAAATATTTTGAACTGAATGAAATTAAAACACAACATATCAAAATTTCAGGGGTAAAGCTCAAGCAATGTTTAGAGGGAAGTTCATATCATTAAATGCACATATTAGAAAAAAAGAAAAAAATCTCAAATCAATAACCTAAAGTTTTACCTTAAGAAACTAGAAAAAGAGAAAAGAAGCCAAAAGCAAGCAGAAGAGAAGAAACAATTAAGATAAAAACTGAAACCAATAAAAATTGAAAAGAGGGACAGCCCCGGAAGTCCAGTGGTTAAGGCTCCGCCTTCCAATGCAGGGGTGCAGGTTCGGTCCCTGGCCAGGGAGCTAAGATCCCACATGCTGCCGGTTGTGGCCAAAAATTAAAAAAAGAAAAAAAATTGAAAAGAGAAAAATAATGGAGAAAATTCAATGAATCCTCAAGTGAATTCTTTGAAAAAAGATTTTA